AATGCGTGTGCAATGACCAGTCAGACCAGCAGAGAGGGCATATGCTCCAGGAGGAAGGCAAGTCAAGCCGCCAAGGTGCATACAATCTGATAGAGCTCATGGTCTGGCGTGCAAATGGGCTGATTTCACCAACACATATTTCTCCACACCTTCACATGCCTAAAAGTACCTCTGGACTGCAGAGCAGCCGTCTTGCCTCACGTGTCATCACGCGCACAGAGCATCAGAATTTGCAGAAGTGGTGTCAGCAGCTTGGAAAACTCCTGGGAGTGGCAGTGGAGCAATCCTTTAAGGAAAGCTATGGTACCAAGTGCTGTGGGACGGTCTGTATGTCAAATTGCTCTGATTGGTCAATAAATAAAACACTGATTGGCCAGTGGCCAGGCAGGAAGTAGGTGGGACAAGGAGAGAGGAGAATTCTGGGAAGCGGAAGGCTGAGGCGGAGAGACACTGCAGCCGCCACCATGACCAGCAGCATGTGAAGATGCCGGTAAGCCACCAGCCACGTGGCAAGGTATAGATTTATGGAAATGGTTAATTTAAGATAAAAGAACAGTTAGCAAGAAGCCTGCCACGGCGATACAGTTTGTAAGCAATATAAGTCTCTGTGTTTACTTGGTTGGGTCTGAGCGGCTGTGGGACTGGCGGGTGACAAAGATTTGTCCTGACTGTGGGCAAAGCAGGAAAACTCTAGCTACAGCCAAGGATTTGACGGAGTAGAATATGACACCATGTGGGAAAACAAGACATCAAGACTGAGCGTTCAAAAGTGAATCAGGTGAGTGAAGCCCAGTGTGCACAGGCCTGGACAAGGCTTTAGCCCTCGGATCTCACTACTGGAACAACTGGCACTTTAACCAGGGGGATTCCTGTTTGTTAGGGACAGGAGGCAGCAGGGAGCCAGTCCTGCCAACTGTAAGATGCTTAGCAGCATCTCAGGTACCATCTACTAGATAAGATTTGACAAGTATCACAGCCAAAAACATCTCCAAACACTGTCAAATGTCCCCCTGGAGACCAAAATTTCCTGAGTTAAAAGCCACCACCTTAACCAATTTACTTTGCTTATGAATACACAGGTGTCATACGTTTCCTCAAAATTTAGTCTTAATGAGCTATTTCAATAAGAAACTTTAAGAGATGAACCACAATCATAATTTGCAGTCATTTTTTTCTCAGTAGTACATCTTGAAATCAATGGCATCTTCAATTCAGTGAAAGCCGACCACCCACTACCCACTCTCCTTTTAAGGAGCCCTCATCTGGATCTCCTGGTGAGCAATGGCTTCCTTTCTACTGCAGTATTAGCCAGTTCCAATCTTTCCTAGCCAATAGTTCTTCAGGCTTCCATTTTGAACTATCAAACAGGCTTCCTAAGTTAACCAGAGTTAAGGTTGGATCGTTCAGTCCAAAGAAATCTCCCTGAGACAAGGTCCTGAATTAAGCTGTCTTGATAGAAGACATTTCGGGATATTTCTCTGCCACAATGTTCACAGCCCATTACATTTTCCCTGCTTCTCTTCAGCACTCTGCACCTGCCATAGCAGGAATGCAAGTTGAGATTCCTGTATTTGCCTCTGGTTTTGTTTGTTTGTTTTGTTTTTGTTTTTCAAGCGTTTCTCTGTGTAGTTTTGGTGCCTGTCCTGAATCTCGCTCTGTCGACCAGGCTGGCCTCAAACTCACAAGAGATCCACCTGGCTCTGCCTCCCAAGTGCTGGGATTAAAGGCGTGAACCACCGCCACCCAGCTTGCCTCTGGTTTTGAATGAGCTTTAAAAATTGCCCAAGGAAAAGGCTACACTTTAAAAAAAAAAAAAAAAAAAAGTTGACCATTTTCACCTCACAGAAATAGGAAGTACTTCAGAAGAAAGGGTATACCATGACTGAACAATACACAATGTGCATGTCCATGGAAACATTACAAGGCAATCCATTAGAACATCCAATGCTTTGCATCCATTAAAAACTAGTATGGGAAGTTGCCATAATAATTCTATAAAGGGAAACATCACAATGGAAATTGATTCCAAAGTCCTCCTCAAACAGATGTATTTGAAATTTACTCATCTGTGCGCCTAGGTTCAGATCTGTTTACTCATCTGTGTGCCTAGGCTCAGCTCTCTTTACCCATCTGTGTGCCTAGGCTCAGCTCTCTTTACCCATCTGTGCGCCTAGACTCAGCTCTCTTTACCCATCTGTGCGCCTAGGCTCAGCCCTCTTTACTCATCTGTGCGCCTAGGTTCAGATCTGTTTACTCATCTGTGTGCCTAGGCTCAGCCCTCTTTACCCATCTGTGCGCCTAGGTTCAGCCCTCTTTACCCATCTGTGCACCTAGGTTCAGCTCTCTTTACCCATCTGTGCGCCTAGGCTCAGCTCTCTTTACTCATCTGTGTGCCTAGGCTCAGGTCTCTTTACCCATCTGTGTGCCTAAGCTCAGCTCTCTTTACTCATCTGTGTGCCTAAGCTCAGCTCTCTTTACTCATCTGTGTGCCTAGGCTCAGCTCTCTTTACCCATCTGTGTGCCTAAGCTCAGCTCGCTTTACTCATCTGTGTGCCTAGGCTCAGCTCTCTTTACCCATCTGTGTGCCTAGGCTCAGCTCTCTTTACCCATCTGTGTGCCTAGGCTCAGCTCTCTTTACTCATCTGTGTGCCTAGGCTCAGCTCTCTTTACTCATCTGTGTGCCTAGGCTCAGCTCTCTTTACTCATCCTGGTCAGCAGGACTTGTGCAGGTGACAATGCCATGGCATAGAGAACCATTCTGAAGAAATGCTCACAAGCCTTTATTCAAATTTAGGCAACAGATGACAATGCATCAATGTGCTGTCACTCCAAGATGCTGCTTTTAAAAGACTGGACTGAAAACTTTCTTAATGCTTGAGCTAAAGTTTCTTCTCTGGTGGGAAAAAAAAAGGAAGGAGGGAAAAGAAAGTTATTGATTCTTCCCCACGTGTCAGATAGGAGAACACACACTTTTTGCTAAGATTTGACAGCTGGGGGTTGTCATGAAGAAGGCTTCAAACAAAACATTTTTAAAAAGAAAAAAATAATGTAAGAGCTGTACTACCCTCTCTGCTCTCTGCAGAGGTGACAGAAAATAAACCCTTTATCAATAGCCATTTGTCCAGGCTACAGCTAGGTGCCAACCCCATTCCACATGAGATATGAAAGTGGCCCTCACCAGCACCTTTTATTCATCTCATCTGCCATTTCCCTTTCATGGGCCAGAGCAGAGCACATAGGAGTCAAATAATGAAGGGAAATGCACACATTCAACCGCAGTGAATGACTCGAACAAAAAGCCTGCACCACATGAGAATAAAGGAAGACAAAAGACTCCTGAAATATAGTTAGCAAAGTAAACATAAATTTAACCCCCCAAAAAAATCCTTATGAAAATAAAATTTAATTAAAGAAAATACAATTTCAAGCCAGCTATAAGGAATCCTACCATAATGTGCTGCTTTTATTTACTTCTTAATGAAACTGATATGATTTTTTTAATACTTAAACTTCACTATCTAATTATATATACTCCATCACCTAACCAACTGAATAATTATAAAGTGTTCCATAGGAAACCACTATATAGACACAGACCCTTCTGGCAGTGCTAATTAGATCTCAGCTTTCTTAAGCCTTTATCAATTTCCTCTGAAAATGGTGCACTTAATGGACAGCTTATATTCTTTTCCATATTTTGTATGGATACACTGCAAGTTAAAACTCATCAGCTAGGGGATGAAGGACCAGACAATGAGGACTCCATTCCAAGTCAAAGCTTCCTTCTACTAGCCTTATCAAATGAACTACAACTAGATTCTGAGCTCCTGCTCCATGGAGACATGTGTCTGCTGCTCATAGTAGAAAAATAACACATAACCACAATGCTCTATAGTCTGTGCAACTTTCAGAACCTGCACAGATAGGAAGCACTTGACTCTTGGGTTAAACATATTTGCACACTCTGAATAAGTACATACTTTAGATCTTTAAAGAGTAGTGCTTTTTCAAAATAAATGTGTGTGTATATAGTATCAGTGCTGTTTTGCATACTGTTTCTCTTACCTGTCCCCCCCAGTCTATGATTCTTACAAATTATTTGAAAAAGCAAACAGGGATCTACATGACTGTCTAGTGTTCCACTGAAGACCTGTACCATGATTCATGCATCACTTCCCCCAGGATGGTCTTGGACTACTTCCAGATTTCAATTCTATTATTTCAATGAGTATTCTTCTAGCTATTATTCCTGATAGTATTAATAATGGCCACAATAAAATGGGAGTATCTACATATAAAAAATGTATAATAAGATATGAACAAGTGGCTATTTCTGTACAACAGAGTTATAGAGGAGTTTCATTTTCACCTATGCAAATGTCCATGACATCTCAATTTTTAAGTGGTTATATCACTAATTAGTGCTATTTGTTAATCCAAGCACTATATGTGACATATGATATTCCTAATTACCTATAATAGTATCCATTTTCATATACAGTAATAGGCAATTCAATTTTCAATCTTAATCATATTCTTTTAGAGATTTAGATATTCTTAGGGAATCCTCAGAAACTACTTTCCATATACTGAAAAAACAAAGAACATGTAACAATATAATTCTTTAAAGATATGAAAAATTTAGGGCTCTACCAAGCACAACCCCAAAGCAAAACAGCAAAGTTCGTATGTTCAGCACATTGTGGAGTTCTGCCATACAAAAATCAAGTACTGTTGTTGTTTTGTTTTGTTCTTTACAATCAGCAGTTCAGAACATTTGTTGTGCTTGGAGAGTCACCCACATGTTGACTCACATCTGTCTGTACTTCAGTTTCAGGGGATCCAGTGCCTGTTCTGACCTCCACAGGCACCAGGAAAACAGGTAATGCATAGACATACATGCAAGCAAGGCACTCATACACATAAAGTAAAATAAGTAAGTCTGTTAAAACTACTACATATTACAAGTCTAGGCAAGCCTGTGGTTCCACGGAACTCACCGTCTCTGGTTTTCTGATTCCTTCTTGGCTTGCTCCAATGCCAGCTCCTCAGCCACTCTTCTTTTCAATTCTTCATCAGAAACTACAACAAAAAGTAGGAGGACCTGAAACAAGGGGCTCACTAAAAACAGAAACAAGAAAAGATGGCTAAGATGGATCTGAACGGGCAAATTGTGCCAGGTGGTCAGTGTCTCCTTGGAACGCCCTGAGCACTGCAGAAAGGGCCGATTAGTGCACTTCAGGAGGAATTTAATCAAGAGACCCTGGTGACCTAGAAATTTCCACACCTGCCAAAATGCAGAGTAAACTCAGGGAACTGCTTACTGCCCAGTGGGGACTAAACCATTAAGTGCAAGGCCTTAGTCTGGTAAGGCCTGTAAGGGAGGGGAGACTGTCAAGGACTTTAGACAGGAAAGTGATGCCAAATGCTCCCTAATTCAATAATTAAATAATTACACAAATATTTATTACAGAGCACGGAATATTTACATTTATGTTCATTTTTCCATAATTTATGAAATTGACATTTATGACTTTTGGGAATTTAGAAACCATATTTTCTGGGATATATGTTATACAAACTCAAGCGCCAACAACTGGAGAGAGACAGAGAGCAGTACTGAGCACACAGCTGGAGCTTACTAAATACCTGGAGACTTGATTGGCAACATCTGGCCTTTCCAATTAAAAGACTGTATACAATATGTCTTGTAAAGATTCTTACAGCTATAACAGTAAATAATGGACAAGTTTTACAGACTACTTTAAGAGTTTTCCATAAGAAATAAGCAAAACCATCTCTTCTTCATTAGAAAGCTACTAACTCAAATTATGAGTGAAAAGCACCAGAACCATTGGGAGGGTCTAGGAAAACACAGAGAACCTCGTCTTCTTCCTAATAGTTCCACCTCTGAAATGCAAGACCAGACAGTCTGTGTCTGCCTGCTACTTGTATACATTATTTGGTGACCCAGACATAAGAGAGATACACCTTGTCTCAGGGCATATACAAAATTTTACTTACAATGTGGTCCAAACATTTTTTAAATACGTAGCTGACACTAAGCAGTAACAGTGACTGAGTATAAAAGGTCTGAAGGCTGTTTCCCCTGGGCTATCGAGTGTAAGAAAACAATGACAGCACAAAGAACATCAGCAAGGAATGAAAAGAGGAGTCACAGAAAGGGGGAGGGGGGAGCCAATCAGAGTTAACAAGGGCTTGTACCCAGAGAATATGATATATAAAGAACTCATAGCCAAATGAGAAAAATATAACACCAAAAAAGAATAAAAAAGGCACTGCTTAAAAGCAGATAAGCAAAGCCAAAAGCATATAGAACACTGTTCATCGTCAGTCACTAGGAATATACAAGTAGTCCACAATGATGCACACACCCTCTGAAATCAAAAAGGCAGAGAGTGAAAAGTGGTAGAGAAACCCAACCCTTCATGCATTATGGATGGGCATATAAATGGCATCACTAGGGAATGAAATGGCACCACTACCTGGATAAGCAGGTTGGTAGTTTCCTAAAATCCTAAATTTGACCCAACAGGTGAATTCTCAAGTACTATATATGCTCAAGAGACCTGAAAATATCTACCCATACAAAAATTTGTTATGAAAATGTCTAACAATTATTTTTAATATCCCAAAGTAGAGATGATCAAAATGCGTATCAACTAATAAACAAGTAATCACAATATGGCATATCTATTCACGTAATTGTATAAAAAGAAATAAAGTCCAGTTACATGCTAAAACAAAGATGTGTGTGAAAGAACACATAAGTATGCCAGGAAGCTGGCTGGTGGCTGCCTGGATGGGAGAAAGGGGGAAAAGAAAAAAGACAGCTAGTGGGCACAGGTTATCTTCCACTGCTTTTGGTAGTGTTGATATGTGTGAATGTGTGTGCATATGCCCTTTGTAGTTAATTTTGTCTGTCTGTCTGTCTGGTTGGTTGGTTGGTTGGTTGATATGTTTGGGGTGGGAAGGGCTTGGTGTATACTGGTTCCTTTTGGGTTTTTTAAAACAGATCATTGCTACATAGGTCAAGCTGGACTCAAATTCACATTCCTGCTCCCTCAGACTCTCAAGAACCAGTTTGTGTCACCACAAAAATCTAGAGGTTACTCCCCTAAAATACTGAAAATGTTCTAAACTAGACTGCTTGATGGCTGCACACAAACCTATACATAAGCTAAAAAACAACTGAACTGTTCACTTTAAATGATAAATCTACCTCAATAAGGGGTAGGTACAATATAAAACAGGGGCCAAGGAAAGGGACCAGCGGCAGCCTGTAGTCCCTACATGCTGGCAGCTGTGTCCTTGAGGCTGCCCTCTAAGGGTTGTTCCCAACTCTGCCCTATCTCTGTTCTGTTTCTCCAGCCTTCAGAATGATACAGGAGAAAGACAGCCTCAACTCTGAAAAGGTCACACATACACCAGAAAAGTGTGTCTAAGGTAAAGAATTACTCTTGCATCCAGGTAAATCTTTTTTTTTTTTTTTGCTTGTTGAAGAGTTTTAAATAATAAAAATAATAGCAGAGAAAATGCAGGCAGTAATAGCTCAAAAAGGGAGTCTGATTAAGTCTCTTTTTCTATTAGCTAGACTTTGGATAAGCAAATAATTAATCTCTTTGACTTTTGGCTTCCTCATCCAAACACAAGCCTTGTGGATGAACTTGCCAGCCCTGAAGTTCTTAACTGTGCTCCATACAGGGGTGATCAACATGGCCAACTTCTCAGAAAAGCAAAACAATGTGAGAGAAACCCCTCTCAGGTTATATTTAGCGCCACCACAAGAACATCTAAGTAGTACTACCTGATCTAAATGCATCCTGAAGTCTGGCAGACCAGGGTGACCAACACACTGTCACTCTAAACCCCACAGAGGTTTCCTAGTGAGATCTGAGCTTGCTTTACCCAGCAGGGTTGCATAAGGGGATGACTTGAGCAGGTGTTTGGAAGGGTCTGCACTTGGCTATGCAGGATGTTTTGATCTAGCAAGGGGGAGGTCTTTTGTCCCTCCCCTTGGTATTGTTATAAAAAGCCCTTTAGAAGAAACAGAAGGGGCTGTTGTGTACTGATCCAGGTCCTCCCAAAGCTATCCCGTGTTTCTGTCTGTCTCGTCTCCGCTATCTTTCTATCTAAAACGGTTCTTATTCCTCTTTCCTCCTAATAGGAACCCTGTAAAAGGTGGGAGCTGGCCTCCCACACTAAAGATGCAAAGTCACTTCTCCAAGGGGAGTTCAAACAGTAGAACACTTTCCTCAGGTAAGATTTGCTAAGATTCTCCATCGAAACTCAACTCATCAATTAAAAGGAGGCCTCTGGAAGATCTCAGTATGCCAAGCCTAAATATGAGTCACTAAGATGAGTTTTCAACGTGAGCTGAGCAAAGTCTCACATTACATTTGGTTTATTGGGGTATAAATGACAAAATAAAAAGCATATATTCAATGTGATCATTTTATAGTCATGTAAATAGTGTAATGACTGCTACAATCAAATTAACACATTAGCCACCACACACAGTTGATTGTGTGTGTATGTGTGAAATAAAGTCTGGCCTTATCAAATCTCAAGTACAAAATAAAATATATAAATAAAGTCTCCATGCTGCATAGTCTGTCTGTCCAGAACTTCCTCATCCAGAGCAACCTATATCCACCATCTCCCAATGCCCACCCTCCAGAACTTCTGCTCTCTGCTTCTGGACTCCACAGGTAAGAGAGAATCATGCAGTGTCTGTCTTTCTGCATCTGACTCCTTTCACTCAATGCAATGACACATCTTCATAACTCATTTCTTGTCTGTGACATTGGGGCTTTCCTTCCAGGAGAAAGGCCAAAATGAGCAGCAATGTGATCAGCTGGAGCAATGAAGTGGCATTACCAAATGGTGCCCAGGTAGGTGGATGACAACAAGGCCATGCAGCTAAGACTGTGCAGGCAAAGTGCTAAGGGGAAAGGGAAAGGCAAACTAGAGGGCTGCTTTTTTTCCCCAATACTCTCTGCCTGTCCTACTCAGCCCCCACTGCCTGTTGTGAGGCAAGAAGCAGGAGCAAATGGATTAAAGGTGGCATAATCTAGGCAGGCCACAGGGGAGGGGAACCAGAAGCAGGAAAGTACCAACAACAAAAGGGGTAAGGACGCTCTAGAAGACATCACTTCTGGTAAAGGCAACAAAACGCAGCTCTCTAATGTCCTAGCTATTTCCAAGAAACAGGGTAGGAAAAAATCATAACTTTTGGTCTCAGGGTCACAACTGGAAAAGTAATTACCTAAGCTAGCATCAGATTTTAAAATGACAAAAGGTAACTCATGACCTAGCATAAAGAATTGAGAATCTACAACAGCGATCGAAGCACAGGCAGAAAATAAGCTAGTGTGGTAACAGCTCCTGAGCAAACCTAAACTTCATGTTATTTGTTTTTAAATCAATAGAATACAGAAAACAACAATGTATTTCTTCTGATAGGTCAGATCCAAAGCGCCGAGGAGAAAAAGATACAGCACTCAGAGCCTGCTATTTAAAATGGCCTTCTCCAACTCTCCAGATCAGAACATTTTCTCAACTACAACTGTTATTAAACTAAAAGGTCAGGGTTTCAGGACCGGCCACTGTAAAAAAAAAAAAAAAAAAAAAAAAAAAGAGGAAAGGCAACTTTGCCCATTAGCACTGTGAGCTCCCAAGCAGACCTGTAGGAGGAGTTGGTAAGGTTTGAGAGATGAGAACAGCTCATGCCATCTAAAGGAGACTGGCCTCGGAGAGCTACACAGGCTGTTTCAAGTTCACTGAGTATGGCTGGCCCTGGGGCTTTCACATGCATTCACACATCCCCTTTAGAATGTGTTAAAGCTTAGGGATGAACATGTACCCAATACCTTGGTAAAGTCTCAGAAATCACTGGAAGTTCTCAATAGTGAATACATTTTAATGAACACTAACATGTTCTGTAAAATAGTTATAGAAAATAGGACACTGAGCTTAAAATGTAAGAAAAAAACTGAGAACTGCTGCTGCTTGGTTATATAGAGTGTGACCTTAAACCTCTTACTTGAAAATAATTCTTGCTTAAAAACAGCTCATAACTCCTAACAAATTTTTATTTGCTTGCTTGTTTTAACCAAACAGGAGTTTTGGGTCGTTCAAATGCCTGGGAATCCTGTAATTCTCTTCTCAGCTAAATTTCTAGGCTATAAATGTGTGTTTAGGATCAAGCAAAGAAACTCCAAGATGGCTAACCTAATTGTACTCTATTGTGAGTAGTCTTTGGAACTGTGAGTACCATGGTCACACCCTAGAGATAGGAAGCATACATCAATTCAGCTCCTCTGCATCATCTGACTCATGCTGAATTTCTGCGTTTCCAGAGAAACTGATTAAACCATGAGCAGTGATACGGACAACTTTACAATAAATCCCTGAGTGGATTTAGTTATTCTTGGAGTTAGATTTATCCAGCTCCAAAGGATGGATGATCTTATATACTCATCTGTGGGGAAAGCAGAAGGCTTTTGAAAAACACAATTCCAGATTTACAGAAAAGTCTCAGATCTCGAGAGACATATCACAGGAAGGTGGATCTCTGAGCTCAAGGCCAGCCTAGTCTGGTCTACAAAGCGAGTTCTAGGACAGCCAGGACCACACAGAGAAACCCTGTCTTGAAAAACCAAGGAAGGGGTGAATGGGGCCAGACACCAGCTTTCTGTGCAACTTTTCCCACCTTTACACTTTCTTTGCCTAATGCTTGCACATCTGCTACAGTATTTCTTAATCTCTAATAAATTTCTTAATAAAAATTAAGCTGGCTACTTAGAAAAAACCAGTTCCTTTGGGATTGCCCCTTGCCTCAATCTCCCCTTTGGGCTTTAGTTTGCAGATACATATCATGTCCAAGCATAGAAAACCTATTATTTTCTGTGATAAACACTGAGAGAAACTATGACCCTGTACTATATGGAGAAAATGTGTTACTTAACATAAGCAGATTTACAGGATTCTGACTTCTCCGAATTTAGACACTTGAGCTACATCCTGCAGCAAAAGATACACTCAAATTACATTTCAAACTCCACAGAAACACTCATTAATCGTAAGATGGCAGTAAATTCATTAATATGAAAAGAACTTATTTTTAAAAGTACTAATGGAAGCACCCATGCAAACAATGAAATACAACACAGTGTATTACAGCTCAACAGCCCTGGCATGCATGTGCTGCAGCATAAACCTTGTCCTCAGCCACATCTCCTAACAGGTGCAGGCTTTGGTGACTCGGATAGATCTCAGGGGTAAATAAATATGTTAACAGTTTGTCATCTATGACACAATCTACCTGGAAGATCAATTTATTTAAACACACAAAAATACACATCCAAAAATAATATGTTCAATGGACAATTAACAAAACATCACAATGTCATACAGGAAATGTATCTTAAGACTGCTTCAAAAAAAACTGAACCTGTCTATATAGTTAACAGGATAACTGTGCCTAATAACACTTTAAAATTATGAAGACAGAATGAAAGTTCCTAACTACACATTCATAATCGTAAACATTGTATCAGAAGGCACAGTTCAACAAAGAGTTTGGCAACCTAAACATTTAGGCACCAAGTTAATGGTCTATTTTGTAGTGTCATTCCTTTATCAGGATTTATACACCTTTGTAAACTTCTAATTTGAATGGCATAATATGCAAATAATGCCCATTTCATTGTCTGCTTCGAGATAAGCACTCACAAACCAGCTCCACACTCCATTCTTTGTGAAAACACACATCAATACTGGGCTGCAGAAGCTGAACAGCAATAGACAAGTTTGTAATTCATAGCCTACAGTTTTCACATTCATAAGCAGACAATTTGTAAAACCAGTATTGAGAAGCAGATACATCTAGTATTTCATGTCTTAATATCCTGAATAATAGTTGCAAGATCTCACAAAGCCTCTAGGAAAATAAGATCTATAATTTAAATTAAAAAATAATAATTACCCCTGGATATTGCTTTTTGATGCATAGCTTAATTTTTGTTTGTTTCAAAAATGGATATATTTTGTTCACTGGGGATACAAATATAAATTAAACAGCATTAACTCCCCAATCCCAAATGAAGTGAAAAAAAACCACACAAACCCTGTTTCCACTTAATTTAAATAGTCTCTAGTTTATTTCTTCAGAACAAGACCAGACTGGAAATGAAAGCCTGGTCCTAGCTTTCCCTAGCTTTGATTTTGCTCAGAGATTTACATTGCTTCAGGCCACAGCTGTAGCACCTATAAAATTAGAACCCAAATTAGCAGTTTCCAATATCTTGCCCTCCTCTGTAACTGTGTTAAGCAAAAGACCTGTTGTGAGTCTTTCTTTGGGGCACCAGCCAGTTACCAAATAATGATATGGAGACGTCTTACTAATTATGAAAGCTTGGTCAATAGCTTAGGCTTGTTTCTAACTAGTTCTTTTTTTTTTTTTTTTTTTTTTAAAGCCTACCGTTATTCTCAGGCAGTCTCCCATCCAAGTACTAACCAGGCCCGACCCTGCTTAGCTTCCGAGATCAGACGAGATCGGGCGCGTTCAGGGTGGTATGGCCGTAGACATTGTTCCTAACTAGTTCTTATAACTTAAAGTATGCTTTCTCCAAGTTTAGCTGGCAACTCCTGGCTAATTGGCTTGACTAGATTCCTCCTCCTCTTTCTCTCCCTAGAAGTCCCGCGTATCCTCCCTGCCCAGCTATTGGCCATTCAGCACTTTATTACACCAATCACAGCAATACATCTTCACAGTGTACAAATATCCCACAATAAAGACCAATGGACTGAATTCCAGCTTTAGCCTCCACGTCATCATCTAGAAAGCCCACTGAAATGAACAACATACTGCCAATTGTTCTTAAAGTGACAAGTTATTCACTCACAGACATTACCTCTCAGGGAATGAAACACTAAAATATATACAGGCTTTAAGACAGGGGAAAAAAACATTTTGCAGGCTTTGCTAAACATATATCTACAGATCAATTTGTGGAGTTGAACATCCCCCTCAAAAAAAGCATGACACTCTGGCGTCACATAGGGAAGACAAAGGATCCCTCTCAAAAAGCCTCCAAACCAATCCCAGCACCCCAACTTTCCACACTAGTTTTCTACTCCTGGACCCTTCTGTAGTTGGATTTTGTTTGTTTGCTTTGTTTATTTTTGTTTTGTTTTGTTTTGACTCTTTATGGGCCTGCCACCCAGCTCCCAAAAAAATACATGGAAACTTATTTTTACTTATGAATTCTTAGCTTGGCTTGTTTCTAGCCAGCTTTTCTAACTTAAATTATCCTGTTTCTCTTCTTCTAAGTTTTGCCTCTGGGCTTTTTATCTTTCTTAATTGTATATATCTTTCTTCTTGTCTTACTCTATGGGTGGTTGTGTGGCTTGGTGGCTGGCCGCTGGCATCCTCCTCCTCCTCTCTCTTCTCTCAAGCCTAGATTTCTCTTCCTATTCATTCTCTCGACCAGGCAGCCCCGCCTATCCCTCTCCTACCTGGCTATTGGCCATTCATCTCTTTATTAGACCAATCATGTGTTTTAGTCAAGCAAAGTAACACAGCTTTACAGTGTTAAACAAATGCACCATAAAAAATGCAACACATCTCTGCATCATCAAACAAATATTCCACAGCATAAACAAACGTAACACATCTTAAACTAATATTCCATAACACCCTCCCTTACAGAAAATCTATAACCATCCAAAACCACCAACAGCCTGCTAGTCACAAAGGAGTACAAGTATTAAGTTTTTTTGCACTGGCTAAAACCTTTCTGTTTCAACATTTGCACCCTGTTTTCTGTTTTCTAATGGACTGCATGAGTTAACATTCTTTGGTTTCACTCCCTTCACCCCAAATCAAGGACCACTAGGTATATCTTAACTAGGGAAATAAATTCAGCATACAGTAAATCTATTTCAACTTAATCCCATGCTCAGGTTTAAGAGATGAACACATAAAATAGCCCCTACCATTAAGGAGATAATGAATAATAAGACTGTTTACTGGACTCTAGAAGAAAGGTAACATCCCAAGGTACACTATCACTGAGGAGGTGGGGCTTGGGCAAGGTCTTAAATTAATACAAAAAGGAAAACAAAATGTGTTTGTGAGAAGTAGAAATGGAAGAGTAAAGTATGCTGCCCTGAGGGAGCTTTGGAAACCAGGCAGGAAATCTGTGAATGTTCAGAAGCAGGACTCTGGGGTTGTAAAACCTGGGAATAATAGAAAGAATTAAGGTGCTAACAGGCATTTGATCTAGTAAAAGTTTGCAGACCAGCTAGGAAGAGAAAGTATAAAACACTGAGTACTTCTCAATGTGAGGCCCCACACATCAGCACCACCAACCACCAGGGACTATTAGAAACCTACAGAAGGAAAACCTCAGGGGATAGGGCCCAACTGTGTGCACTTACAAGAGCTCCCATTGTCCTGGGGATGCGACTGAAAGTGGAGAACCACTGGCAGTGGAGACTAGCAGTGAGGGTGGAGTCTTTCTCCATGAAAAACATTACCTGAGATGGCAAGATGAAAGAGAAAAGTGGCAGAGGCACAGACAGCCAAGGAATTAATACCCATGATGGTCAATTAAGTAAAGAGGAGAGATCCTTGGAGAAAGAAAGATAATGAGCTCAGTTCCAGACACATTCAACCAAAAGTAATGAAACAAGCACTACATGGAGCTGTAGGCAATTAGATATCTGGACCTGAAACTCAGATCTTATGTGAGACTTGGGTGAAAATGCAGGTCTGGGAATGATTATTACAGCTCTGAGCTCAGAGAATTCTCCCCGGATGGGGGAAATCATATTAAAGAGAGAAGGGTAAAAGACCAAGGAGCAGACTTAAAAATTCATAGGAGGGGAAATGAAAGAAAAGCATCATTAGAGACAAAGAAGAATGGCATGGAAAGGATCTGAACCAAGATAGTGCATGCTGAAATGATAAACAGATTGCATCCCATGTCGATTCCCATCAACTGGCAGCCGCCTGGGGTGCTGTGTAGAGGAAGACTGTGAGGCCAAGTCCAGGCTTAGTGAATTAATGTCTACCTTGAGTACCAGAGAAGACCTGGCAGTGTGGCTTACAAATTACCTCTCATTCTGGGGAGCTTGTGGAAATCTGGTCATGTGTGCATTAGGAACCGCTGGGAGGATAGTAATACAGGCAGCAAATACAGACTGCTGGGCAACAAGTTTAGAAGGGAAACAAGAAAGGGTGGGGAAATATAAATAAAAGATCATTTTTGCAAATACTGGAAATCTGTACATCTTTGAAAGGCAGGCATAATAATATATTACTCAGCTATAAGATACTGCTGAATGATAGTTATTATTTCTCAAAATAAATTTAGGGAACATATAGAGAACAGACTGCTCAGCATACAATAACACAACCCAATTAGCATTTATACACTATAGTCCATTTTCATAATGACTATCCTGGTGTAGGCTTCATAGCCCTTTTCTCCTTAAGTCTATTTGATAGCAGTGAAACAGAATGGACATGCCCATCGTCACATGCTAAAACAAAATTTAACCAAGACAATGCCCTTACTTACCTAACTGCTTTGTTAAGTAGCACGTCAAACCCCATCCAATACTGACCATCATTAACCAATCTTCATCTTACTGTCATGAACTAGTGCATTTGCCAGAAAGGTGTACACTTAATCCCCAGTATCTACAACACACTAGCTAAATTCCTGAATTCCACTAAGCTACTATTTAACTCTACGCTCTGCCCAGCACCATTTCTATGGGACAGTTTACATTTATCTTTGTAGTTAATCCAAGTACAAGGAAAGCAAAAGCCCCAAAAGTACGCAAATAAAATCTGTCTTCTAATCCAACATTTGATGCCATGGAGAAAAAGTCAACTAACTTCCTCTTCATTCAGGACTTAAGTATAATACCTCACGTGAGGAAGGAGACAAGAGTCCTGGCTTTAGGTGTTGGACCATTACCAGGCAGTAAAAACAGTGCAAGTGTCTCCTGAAACACTTCAGTTTATTTTAAGAAATTTACATTTTACACCCACACTTAATTCTTATTTTATTTATGATAGTTCAACTATATTAAAATGTCAAGGCAGCATATTAGTGTGTATTTCATTAAGTGACAGTGCAATATCTCGAGTTTATTTTTTATTTGAATATTTTATTCTGATCATTAGATCAGTCTCCTCAAAGTCAGATTATAATAACTATGGTTTTGTTGTTCCCCTTCATCTGAAGTAACAAATCTCCACTTAACACTCAGAAAACACCATTCCGGTGTATTCACACGCAGCCATAATCTTCAATAAACAAAGTCATTCCTTGTGAAGCCGAGTGGAAGCTCAGTGGCTCAGACCGTCGAAGCTGACCTGTCTAAAACACAGGACTACAGAGGGATTTCAGACCAAAGCACAGTCCTTCATTTAAAAGTAAGAATGTAGTTGGCCTTTTTCTAAAAGTAAAATAAACTATCTACAATAAAAGTAGGCTGAAAAGAAGATCACAGTAAAAGAAAAATCATTTATTATGAGGAGATTCATGATGACTCACCAATCCCCTTAATCCTGATGTTAAATGGAGAAAAGAGACGGCATTTCTTCTTACTGTTAATAGGCATTTCATTTGTATAACTTCAAGTGATGTGTAAGGTAGGCATGTCAATCCTGTGGAACTGCAAGCACTACATAAAACAGCAATGAAAGACTGGGGGTGTGGCTCAGTGGGTAGAATAGCTGCCTAACATGTATGAAGTCCTAGGTTCCAACCTGAGCACCATGGAAAACCAAGTTAGTGTAACAAATTATTAAATCCTAGCTCTCAGTGGGGCTAGGAGGATCTGAATGTCAAGGTCATCCTCAGTTATATACCAAGTTTGAGGTCAGTCTAAGCTCCATGAGACCCTGGCTCAAAAATAATGAAAATGTCACTTCTGTTCAGGCCACTGGCTGGCACCTTTATCAGACTCAAGACCCAATTCCACTTGTCTTTTTTTTTTTTTTTTGGACTGAGATTGAACCCAAAGCCTTATGATACAAAGTAAGCACTCTACTATGGTGATATTTTATTTTGTACTAAAATGTTATTTGTATGTTAATAAATAAAGTTGCCCGGGGGTCAGAGATATTAGCAAGCCATAGGAAAGCTGGGCAGTGGTGGTGCACGCCTTTAATCCCAGAACTTGTTAGGCAGAGCTAGGTAGATCTCTGTGTGTTCAGGGATACAGCCAGCATTGGAGACACACGCCTTTAATCTCAGTACCAACCATAGAAGACCTGGAGGTCTGTACAGACAGGCAGTGATGAGGCGGTCATGTGTTTGGGTTTACAACCAATGAGAAGGCAGAACCGAAAGTCTTTATAAAGACTTTAACACAGGAAGTAGGTCTCTTTCGGAGAGGTAGGACCACCGTAGGAGGAAGGGTAAGGTTTTAGCTCTTAGCTCTGACCTCTTGGCTTTCTTCTTTGCATTGGTTCTGTGTTTCTTATTTAATAAGACAGTTGGTTATATCTACACTCTACCACTGCGCTCATCTCAGCTTCCAGCTGTTTTCTAGACAGAAACAGTTTATGACTATGGTCCTGAAGAGAAACAGGTAATAATCCAACACAAAATTTTCATATAATGCACAAAACATAATTAAAAACAAGTATCTTACAAACTTACAAGACAATGACATCTCACTATAAAAATATTCAGCTACACATACTCCAAAAGATGTAAGGAAATCGTTTGATTCTTGGGTTGATGTATTAAATCACCACAAAGGCAAAAGCAATAGCTAGTGCCACATGTAAATTGTATTTTGGGAAAATTCAGGATACTTTAAAAACATATAAAGCTACTTTCTGTTTATAGATCAAACAACTAGGTTCTAGCCTGGGGTTTTGAATGGCATGAACTGGTGAGACAGTCAGAACCTGAGGGCACAAGCCAATTCCTTATGAACTACCCCCTGGTATTGCCAAACATCTAGACCCTACCTGCCACTGAGCACCAGTGGTTCCCCATCCCAGTCTCATAACTCACCAACACACCTCAAGCACTGCAGTGCCTGCCCCTGAGAACTACTGTTCTCAACTAAAATATTCACCTGATTAAAAAATGTCAAAGGAAGAAAGAAAAAGAAAACACAGGAAACCTAGGTTCTTTATGGTTTGCATGACAAACAATCCATAAAAAATACCGATAAGGTGGAAATCAGGCCCAGTACTTAAGAGCACTTGTTGCTCTTGTGGAGGATCCAGGTTGAGTCCAGCACCCACAGAGCAGCTCATAACCATCTTTAACTCCAGTTTCAGGAGTTCCCATACCTCTTCGGGCCTCCAAGAGAATCAAGCATGTACATGGTGTACAGACAAATACATGAAGGTAGAACAACCATACACACAAAATAAAATTTCAAAATATAGAAAGATAAAAATTGGGCGATGACATCAAGATGTCCATCCCCAATACTATCTTCTCCTTTCGGCTTCCTCTACCTCCATATTCACAAAAAACAAATTTGCCCAATCCCACTCACAGAGATTATTTTGAATTTTCTTATAGTATCTACTACTACTAACAAATCAAACTGTCATTTGTTTCTCTCCTGATGCCACAAGCCGTATCCTAGAAGAGCAATGGTACCATTAACAATTCAATGGTAATGGAGAAGATGGATAAAATTGCAGCCTAAAGATAGGCCCTGGTGGCTGTGAAGGTATCACAAGGATTCAAGAAGCCAGGGAGATGAGCCAGACTGCTGGAAGGCTTTCAGCACCAACCATTCAGGGGCATTCTCAGATCACTGCCTTCTAGAACGATCTCCCAAGCACAGACTTATTTCTATCTGACACATTTTCCATCAAAACTAGCCACATCAAATAAATGTTGGCCAACTAAAATTGAATGCTTCATAGATGATACATCAGAATTCATACCAAGCCCTTCAATGGGACACTATTTGATATTCAAGGAAATGAGAAAGGAAATTGCAATTGCTCACCCTAAAAGAACTCCTAATAATTCACAGAGATTTCCTTTTGAAATTAAGGAAGTAAAAGGCTTAGTAAGAAATTGTTTCTCCACATATAGTATGGCTGAGTAGCCTGTATTCTTATGGTACTCCGAAAAGTGGGCAAAGGTTGTTGCTGACTCTTTGGCCTACTTATGGAACCCTTCTCCTCCTATTGGGCTGCCTCATCCAGCCTTGATGTGATATTATGTACCTGGTCTTAGTGTAGCTTATTATGCCATGTTTGGGCCTGTTCTTTTCTGAGGGGAAACAGAGGAGGCATGGGTCTGGGAGAGAGTGGAGATTGAGGGGGGAGGGAGGAGGGAAGGCTGGAAGAGAAGGAGGGGAAACTGTGACTGGGTTGTAATATATGACAGGAGGAGGAGGAGGAGGAGGAGAAAGAAATTGTTTCTCAATAAACACCTAAAATAATAAGTGTTCCTGACAGCATATGAAACTACCTAAAAACTGATATAAAGAAGGCAAGAATGAGTATCATTCAAACATATAAGATACTTGAATAGAAATGCATTTAGAATTCTTTTCAAGTACCTTTGGCAATCAGATCCAGTCATTAAGAGTGTTATCAGATCAAGTCCCTTTGGGAACTGCACTAATAATTAGAATACCAACTGATTCTCTACAAATAATAACTTCCAACATACATGATGATTTCATAAAATAATTTACTAAGTCATTTAAGGTTTTCTCTAAGAAGGGTTTTTTACAAAGTCTCCCCAGCTCTCCACGCCCCACGCCCCATCCTGTTTGTGTAAATAAACATAAATTTTCTCTAATTTTGTGACAGACTGTGAATTTGCTAATCCAGATGAATAGGATCTGACTTCATGTTCTAACACTTCATGATGGTTTTAATATATTTTATGCCAGTTTCATAGCTTATAGAGAATTTAACAGGAAGAAGTTAATCTAATATGGCATTACATACAAAACATAAAAGTGTATAAAAGATGAAATACTCAGACTTACACTCAGGTGCAGCTGAAACACAGCTGTGAAATAGTAATAATGTAAATCACTACTACATGTAAAATACTCTCCAGTCATGCCAGTGTTGGGGGGCTGGGATGTATGAAATAAAACATAGAATAATGTGTTTTGACATTAGCTTACATGGGTAGAAAAACATGAGTTTCATAAGACGTACACCAGATTAATTCTAATGAAAGAGACAGTTCAGAGAACATTGGTTTTCCCTGGTGCTATCCTTTGTGACTTAATCTATTTGTAAATTACCAATAAGATTTCTCTTGAAGAGGAAATGCAGTGAACAGAGTGTATATGAGGGTCAAAGACAAACATCATCACACTAACATAACAACGAAATTCTTGACTGAAGAACTGTAGGCATTTACTTTAAAAATCCTGACTGGCATTGTATGATATTTCAGTAAGCCAGCACTGTATATTTGCAGGAGGCTGTTTTAAGCTGTGTATTTTTCAGAATGCCAACATGCTAAGAATGGCAATTTTTTAAACCCACAGAAAAGATTAGTTAAAAAGAATTTGTAATGTGCCTTGGATGGGGATGTACGTCCAATTACATTAGTATTTTAGTTTCTAATGGCCAATGCTCACTTATTTACTGTAAATGAATTTGATTTGACAGTAACAAGAATTAATTTCCATCTCTTTCATTGCCTTTAAACAATGCTAAAGTCACAGATGGTGATGGATAAAGAGACAAAATGGCAAAGTAAAAGTGATGTTGATAAACCATTTTTTAAAATTTCATTTTCATAGCCAACCTAAATACCTATTAATTCTCTCTCTGGGGAACATGAAGCTGATGGCAAAGAAAGATCTACACAACAAAGTAAAACTGCATGTACTTTACACATAAGACAATGAAAATCACCGGGCAAATTAAGCACCCCCAAACATGGGCATGGCCAGCTAGAAAAACAGTAGTCACATAATAAAACACTGTATTAATATTCAGAAACATGATTTAAGAAGTATCAGTTCTTTAGAAAACAATGCTCACAATTAAGTGAAGTGGACAAGCGAGTAGGCTGAAAACACTGCTCAGTCTTCATTTATTTGTTTGTATGTGTCTACCACTTACAAATGCAAAGACTACATCTATGTGTTAAGGGGGAAAATAATCACCTTCCTTTCTCCCTGTATACATGATCAAGAAAACCACATTTGTACTTTCATGACTATTCAAATTATAATTAAACAACGCATTAATAAATTAGCAAATGGGGATGGAGAAATGAGCACTTACTGTTTTTGCAGAGGAACCAGGTTCGGTTCCTAGCACTCATGTGGCAGCTCTCAAACACCTGTGACTCCATTTCCAAGAGATCTGACACCCATTTCTGGCCTCCATCTGTGAGCTCCAACATGAACACAGTGCACATACACTCATATGGACTCACAAACATACCCAGAAATAATAAATACATTTTAAGTATTTTTAATTATAAAAACCCTTTATCAATGAGGCTTATGCCAAAGGAGGCTGAAACAAGATCACTTGAGCCAAAATTAGAGGCCAGCCTGAACAACCTATCAATAAGATCTTATTTCTTGCCGGGCAGTGGTGGCACAGGCCTTTAATCCCAACACTCAGGAGGCAGAGGCAGGTAGATCTCTGTGAGTTCGAGGCCAGCCTGGTCTACAGAGTGAGTTCCAGGATAGGCTCAAAAGCTACACAGAGAAACCCTATCTTGAAAGAAAAAAAAAAAAATTATGTCTTAAAAAAGTAAAATATTGGTGTAACGTTTTTATTTATCTGCAATTTTTTTATGT